CTAGTTCTAAGAATTCATATTATGACCGCAATAATTAGTATATGTATATGTACACGTTATACTAATTTACCGAATTTTATTATATTGTCTAAATCTCAAACACACCTCTCGATTATTTCCTTCTTTGTTGACTTTTCTTTCTCTTTCTTTTTCTCTTTTGTTTCTTCTTTCTTCTCTTTTCTTTCTTGCTACAACCGTCATTTTCCTTCCTGTTTTCTGTTCATCCTCGCTCCTCTCTAATATATATATATATATATATATAGTTTTTTTATTCAAAAATCAGATAATAATTTAAATTTTTAATATTAATAAATATATTATACAATTAAATTAATACACATATCTACCCACTTAACCCAACCACCTTCCAATTTTCTTCTATATTTCCTCTCTCTTTCTATACCCCTCAATTCTATCCTCTCTTTATCATCGCCGGAGCAAGTATCACACCACCACGGATCCGTTAAGAAGACGTCGACGATGAGTCTATGATAAGGAGCGACGAGCGTCCCTACTTCATGGTGGTCGGGGATCTATGTGTCTGACACAGAAGGGTGTGAATCAGTGGTGGTTCGGTGGTGTCTAGGATGGTATGTTCGGTGATGATGCTAGTGGTGGTGGTGCGATGGGTAGAGGTGGGGTGCAGGGAAATGATTTTGGGTTTGTTTCTTCCTTTGATCTGCTTCGTCGGAGATTTGAGGGAGTGCTCGTTGATTTTTTATTTTTTTTTGTGGTGTTTGGGTGGTGCTCAGTCGGTGTTTTGTTTTTGTTTCAGATAGTGAGGTGTTGGTGGCGGTGAGGTAGTGCCGACTTTTTTTTTCTGTTTTTTTTCTGATTTTCAGATTGTGAGGTTGTGTCGGTTGTAAGTTGTAGAGTTTCCCAACAACTTGCCCGGTGACAGCAAATGCACGAAGATGCCGACATCTGTAGAGAAAAATCGGAAAATCAGGGTTTGGGTAATGATTTGAGGGCAGAGGCCTCTAGTGTGATTTTTGAAATTATAGGCCCCTCCTTTCAATTTCAAATTGGGAGTCAATTTACAAATGACAAAGATGGTGGTTGTGGTGGTGTAGTAGGTGGTGGTAGTGGTGAA